AGCACTCTACCCAGTGACAGCTTGAGGCTCTGTCTCAGGAAAAAAAAAATATTTGAGTTTTTCTTTTCCCACAAGGAGTGAAAAGGAAAGGGAATAGACTGTATTCATATGTTTTAGGATATTTTTATTATTAAATACAATCTATTCTTATGATTGCTATCATGGCATATAACCAAAACGTGGCTTCAGCTCAAGAAGTCACTTAGGGAAAGGTGTAGAAAGATGCTAGAATATATTCTCTCTTTTTTTTTTGCCCCAGGTTAGAGTGCTGTGGCATCATAGTTTACAGCAACCTCAAACTCCTAGGCTCAAGAGGTCCTCTTGCCTCAGCCTCCAAGTAGCTGGGACTACAGCCAGTCACCTAGCTAGTTTTTCTATTTTTAGTACAGATGGGGTCTCATTCATTCAGGCCAGTTTCAAACTCCTGAGCTCAAGCAATGTATCTGCCTCAACCTCCCAGAGTGCTAGAATTACGGTGTGAGCCACCACACCCATCCTAGAATATATTCTTTAAGTGTAGCTACACAATTTAATTCATATTAGGGCTAAATGTCTAGGTCAGAATCTGGCTAGACAGGATTCAACTCTCCAGTGATGTTTCTTTTAATTAATTCTCTATAGTTTATGGCAAGAGGGAATTGCTTAGAAAAAAAAAAGACTGTAAGTAGTTAGTAATCTAATACTTGTTTATGGTACATAGTGGTTTCCATTACTATACACTGACTAATATGCTTAATACAAGTGTTAATTCTTCCTTCACTTTTTGTTCTTTGTATGTAGTACACAGATACCTTGAAATAAATAATACATCTCTTTACCTCAGTCTTCTACTTTAATGTTTGCAGAAATAAACCAATATATCCACACACCAATATATCCACATCTGTTATCCTGAGTGAACTCAAAAAAGGAAGTTATACCTTTAATACTTAAACAGCCTTCCACAAAAAAATATTTCTGCAGGCTGAGGCAGGTGGATTGCTTAAGCTCACCAGTTTGAGACCAGCCTAAGCAAGAGTAAGACACTGTCTCTAAAAAATAGGTGTCGGAGGCTTGGCGCCTGCAGCTCAACTG